ATATTTTAAGTTTTGTTCATTAAAAATTTTAATAAATAGAAAGTTTTAAAGAAAAAAATATTTCAGTATTGATATATTAAATCTTTAAACATCAATTTTATGATAAAATAAAATTAAAAATTTAAACTGTAAAAAATCAATTTTTTCCGCCTCAGTACCACTGTGCGGCGCTTTAAAGAAGCTAAATTTGAAAGGCAAATTTAATAGCCTGAGAGCTAATGAATAAAAGCGACTGAATGATAAACTTAGATCCCGAGTCGGTCGTGGTGACCGCGATACAATTTGAAAGGCGGATTAAAGAATCGCTGAAGCATAAAAGCGACTGCGGGAGAAAAGAATGGCAATTGTGTAAAGGCTTCCATTTCCATCCCCCGAGCGAGAGTGCGATTCCTTCGGAAATATGTTTTTCAAATATCAAGAATACACGCTTCGGTGAGTAAATCTTACAGTGGTTAGTTTAAATGCACTAATGCGTTGTAATGTGAGCTTAAAGTGTGTATTGAATGGAAAAAGAATTAGGTTGCTAGATGGAAAAACTAAAAGCAAACTTTTCGTATATCGCGAGATATTCTTGGAAAGCTATCCGCAAATTTACAGGATTGATACGTATATTTTCGCATATAATGGATTAATTTTGTATATTGTCGTCAATTTTAGAAAGGTTAGAATTTCTTGTATCGCATTGAAAAATTGCAATTGCTCCGAACTTCGCGATCGCATTCGGATCTACATTTCTGCCTGTCAACGGAGTCGATTGGCCCGCGAATATAAGTTGGAAACGGTTCGCATCGACAAATACTCACTCGGATCTTTGACGGCCGTGATGACGAGGCGGAAGCCATTCAAGTTGGTGCCCCAGGCGTCAGTGACGTATTTCAACGTCACGAAGTTGGTGCGCGTGTAAATCGCGCCCACGGTCTGCTTCGTGTTTCTGCAGGATAGGTCTGCCTGGAAACAAAAGAAAATTGCGTTCGTCGAGTACGTGCCACTTGAATAGGGTTTTTTTTTTTTTGCGGACGCTCGTGCTAACGATGCAAATGTCGCGAGCGTGATATCGAACGAACGTGGGGCGGACGACATGCGCTTGATTTACGCAGATAGTTTTATATTCCTATGAATTAAAAGTTCTCCCCCTCCCTCAATCGATGCTGTTCGAGAAATGTCGCGGGGAATGATTTATATTGTTGCACATCTGCGAAAGAAAAGTAAATTTAACGCGAAAAGCGTTATAAGCTTTTTAATCTTTAATTTGTTAAGAGATTTGTTTCTCGATATTTGTTAAACTTTATTTCTTTATTTCTTGGTTAATTTTATTATTTATTAAAAGTTGAACTTATTAACTTTTTATTGCTACAATAAAGATTTTAGTTCCACAGATGTGTTGCTTGCGAGAAAAAATGTCACTAAATTTTTTGTGGAGCTCTAAAAGCTACAAGGAAAGTAAAAAGATATGGGCTCGTATTACCCGTAATACTACGCCCACCGGTATTACCAAGAAAAATAAAAATGTTCTCTTTTACATATCATTAACTGCTTCTCCCGCACTTTATGAATCAGGCAGTAATGATAAAAATGCCGCAATTCTATGAAAAATGACAAAAGTCATAATAGCAGTTTATAAAAACCTGGCCGAACGTCGAATAACGTCGTTTTTTTTTCGAGATAGCAAATATATTTTTAATAAAACGGCTATCCGCATGTGTGGTGCATAAGCCTTTTTTTTTTTAAAGCTTATGCCGGGACATTTATAAACCAGCTTGAAACGCAGCTTGATACAAAACAAAAATGACGTAGCCCAGAAGATAATCCTGAAATACAAGCCGTAGATATCAATTCAAGCAGCGACAACGAGACCGTGGCCGGCAGGAAATTTATTCGTAGATTTGCAGCGCGGTATCTCGCTCGTTTACCTCGAGACACGAGTAACGTAACACTTGTTGCACCCCTGCGACCAACACGAAAGAAACCGAAAACAAACGGCTGCACTGTCGAAGAGATAAAAAAAAAGCACGCTCTATGGCACTTATCGATTTTTTCGCGTAACGAATTATATATAACAAAGATATCTTGTTGAATAATGTATATTTAATATTAACTTAATATTAAAATATATGTGTGTTAATATTAAGATATCTAGCTGTCAAGTACAAATTATGTTTGTTCCAATTTATGCGTGAGACTCGTCATAGTACAAATTTCCACGGTCCAAAAATTATTTATGATGATTGACATTGATATTTGATTGTCGTAGATATTTAATTATTGTAGATTGATGCTATTTATTTCGTCTGTCTCTGTATTATAATCGATTGATCGGATTTTTGAATATGAGAACTTGCGTATGCCGATTTCCATATAGTATGTGAAAATTGACATAATCCAAGATATAGATATACATATACTGCTAAATTATCACTAGCAGCTTCCATATTCGGAAGTGTGTATGACATTCAACGCATATCAACTTTCGTATATTAAATGTAATTTGACATGAAAATTATCTTATATTCAAAAATACAATCGGCTGGTTATAATATGCAAGCGCTTTATCATGTATTTTTTATTTCAGATGTACGTATATCAATTTTTGTATTGTGAGGATTTGCGCTATGCAATTTGCACGCTGGATAAGCATAAATTATTATATAGAATACTGTGCTATATTATGTATTTCAATTATAATTTTATCGTGTCTATCGTATATAAATGTATCTTTAATATTAACTAACTAAATATTTTTAATAAGGCATTTTAATATTAACTGTTTTAATAATTGCACGAAAACATTACTGTATTGGTAATATCGGTAGTATCGGAATAGTAAATGAATGAAAAATTCACTGAAGTTGACAATAAAATTGGCTTCATGACGCTTCGTATCGTCAATCAAAGTTAATAAATCAATTTTTTGTGCTTTGGTTGTTGTAATTAATTTTTTAGAAATGCATTTGTGCGATAACTGATGCAAACGTTCTCGATTTACTGAAAGCATTTACGAGAAAGCAAAAAATCGGTGCAAACATTATCGTATTTTTTTATGCTATTTGAAAACTAAATATCTGCAAATAAGTTTTATTTGTTAACGAGCATTGCAATCGCACATAGTTTACATCGGTTTATCGCGCCACCCGTATCGCGAAAATAGTAATTTTGTGTTGTGGAAAATTCAGAGAAGGAGAGAGAGAGAGAAAAGGAAGAAGTTCTACGATGATAACAGTTTAAATTACATTCCGCACATGCGCTCCCGTGTAAATAACTTTTATTGAGATTTTAACTTTGTTGCGCGACGGGGTGAATGTTACAACGATATTCTCACATTTCCAGCTTGCACAGATCTTTTTCCTTTTCCTTTTTATATTTTTATATTTTTATCGGTTTCTTTATCGCGAAATATTATCGAACCTATCATAGGCTGTTTAATAACTGTCTTCTTCCCGTCCTAATTAGTGCGAACAAGCGATCAAGTTTGCAGCGGATAATCCACATTTAATTATCTCTTCGATCCTCAACCTCCATCAACTTCTTCCTCGTCGCACATACCTCGTCTCTCACCCTTGTCTTCTACACGGCAAAAAATAGCGGTGCAATCTCTGCGTATCAGATAAACGAAAATATTATAATTAGAGTGTGCGAGCGTTATGAAATTCCGGGTGTTCACATTTAGAATGCGAGCAGAATGTATACGCGGAATTTTGAAAATGTAAATGTTTTATTTTATTTACAATTATGTTTTCCGTTAATTCTGATCTTACAGTATATATTTTTTACGTAAAATCTGTTAGAGCATAATAATATACTCTTGAAATTTAGATAGAAAATTAATTTATGATTTATAGCTGTGAGAAATATTTCTTTTGGAATAAATAATGAAATATAATTACATACAGCGTTACTATAGTTTTCAGGACCGATTGCAATCGATTGAACAAGGATCGGACCTTTCTGAATTATAATATAATATTGAAGATATTACATGATCAGGATATCTATTACCTAAAAATCTGAAAAAAATCTACGCTCAGGAAATTTTTTTTCTGCTCGAGAAGTCGAGGAATTTTCAGAGAATTTTATTGGAACTTGAAGAATTTTTGATCAAGTCTCTTTAACAGTTTTGCTTTATTTTGGCAAATGGCTAATCGACCGACTTATATAACTCTCTGCTACTTTTCAATAATTTCTCAAATTTAATATTTTAAACTTGAGTGCTTAATTTTTCTCTCGGATCATATAAGTGAAAAACATTAAAAACAAACTCTAAACGTACGCTAGATAGATTGATTTAAAATTGCTATCTAAAAGCACTCTAATTTTGTTTCAAAATTTAGACAAAAATGCCTAAAAAAATATATAATTTTTTTCAAGTTTTAAATAGATATTTTGATAATGATATTGCATGATTATTAAGTTATATACACACACATTTATTTAATAATATATGGTATAACTATAACAACGAAAACGGAATTTACATTTGCGTTTAAAATTTAAAATGTAGCATTTAAAATTTTAAACGTCATATAACTTTAAAGCATTGCAAACGCACGAATATTGCAGTGTTTTAGCTCTTTTTACTTACCATTTGAATAGCGCAAACGCATTTTTTGTGCAATATTCAAAGTAATTTAGAATAAGCCGGCAGTTGAATACCACTCGTCGTTAAGCCGTGAAGAGCAATGTACTAGCGCGAGGTATTAGAAGATAACGCGAAATGAGAAAAAACGAATAAAAATAACATTCCCGAGAAATACAAAAAATAACAACTCAAAAAGATAGGTTGTTGAAACTAAAGTTATGAAATAAAATTGGCATTTAGTTGAAATACAAACTTGGCGCATTTGTATTTATTTTTCTGATAATTGTAAAAGGTACTGATAAAATCGAGAGAAAACATTAATTTAAAAATATTAATTTAAAATATTTCCAATACTAGTTATTAATTCCCTTGCATTATGCATTTGAACACTTATGCATTTCATGTTGAAACATTCTACATAGGAAGCTACGCGACACGGCTATTACGAGCAAATAAAGCTTTCGATATACGCTAATTCATTTCACTTGCCACATTGTTATTTTCATTAGCCGTACACGAGCAATTATTCGGGTATATTATTGAATCCCATCAGATCGAGACCTTTATTTTTAAAATGGCGTATCTCTAATTCGGAATTTGAACAATATGCTAATTCGCACTAATGCGTTATATCGATTATACGACCGGATTTGCGCGAAGTACGAAACTTACAAAATAAACTACTCAATTATCCTAATGCGATCCAGTAGAGTTTTGCACTATTATCGCATATTACGAGAAATTACGGAAATTTCGGTGCAAATCCGATTTTGCAACTGCGTTACTCGAAACTCGACATTTATCGCGCTACTGTGTAAATTATACGGCCGAAAAACGTTTTTGCGCGATATGAACAATTACGATAATCAAACGCCACGGTCAAATCTAATTGCCGGCATCTCGTTGCTGAATGGAGGTTAGCCTAATTTGCAATCGCATTATTATCGGCAATACAGTCAGCGCACGGCAATTCACTCTCGAGCTGATCTATAGGGTCTATTTGCGCGCGGCAAATTGTGTACCCTATCGGTATTAGGATTGCGTCCGTACGCGAACGGCGGTTTAATAACGTGCTCGCCGATCGACCGCATATCAACCGGACGAGCACTTGTCAATTCCGACGACGAGAGTCATCGATCATGCTCAAAACGTAGGCTTAAGTAATCTGTAGCGCCGAGCGAACAACCGAGCTGTAGACGTAAGCCGGCAGCGAGAAGGGTTGCTCTTGTGACGGGCACTGTATAGAGGGCTTGTAAAATTATCGTTTGACATACCATTTGACGTACGGCTGGAGTAAATAAACTATCGTATCGCATACATATTTACAAGGCTATCTGCTTCGTTTATTAATAATTCTACGTTCTTCTTTGAGTAA